CGTGACGGGCCCTAAAAATTCACGTGATCTGTTTATACCTTTGTACGTGCCTCTTATGTTATTTTCGATTCTATTAGTTTCTATTTCAATTATTTTATTTTTAAGATACTCCCTTTTTTTATTTTTGAGCAATTTTGTCGTTTCATTCTTTGAGGTTCGGAAGTATTCCAGATTGTCTTCGCTAGGATTATTTAGAGCTTTTAATTTAGCGGATTTTCTTTTTTCGCACATGTTTAAGCAATCTTCATCAAACCACTGTTTGTTATTTTTAGTTTCCTTTTTTTCCTAGACACGAGTTACCGACCGCTTTAATATTATCCCTGATCTCTACCCATAACTTGTCAATATCCTCGAGGTCCTCGTCAGAAAGCTCTAAAGTTTCAAACCTATTTTTAACATCTAGCTCGAATTGGTTTCTAATTGATCAATTTTTTAATTTTTCCAAATTAAAATTCTCAAAATCGAAACGGTTTTCTTTTCTCTTTTTTATATTAAGTTTTTGTCGAAGTTTCGCGATTACTACTTCGTGATCCGATCCACATTCTGCTCCGCGATAAGACCGTACATTAATTATACTGCTTTGCCAGCTATGTTGTATCAAGACATGATCGATTTGATTTCATGTTTCCGAATCCGGGGATGTCCAAGTATATTTATCAATATCCTTATGTTTAAACGTAGTACTTTTAATTATCAGGTTTTTCGAGATAGCAAAGTGTATCAGACGCTCCCCATACGCGGTAATGAGCCCGCGCGACGACTAAAGTTATTTAATTCACTATTATTTAAAATTTTACGAATGGCTATTATATTTGAATAGTTTTATGGAATGTAAGATGCTTCCTGTTTTGAATTTAGCACCTTTTTACTTTTACTTACGTATATTTGTAATATATAGTAAGGGTAAGTATTATGATTGATGGTGAATTTTTTTTTGGTTTATTACTATATAGATGGATTCTAATTTTTTTTAGCTTCGATCCGTAGTTTGATTTATGAAGTATTTTAATATTTTCCAAATCTATTTCATCTCTATGGTTTTAACGTTGTTTGAAAAAGTGACAACTGTTTTTGAATGAGGTTTAAGACTACTTTAGTGATTATAAATTCTTGTTTTTATATCAGTCGATGTCATTCCTATATATGATTTATAGCAATTTTACATGCGATATCATAAACTAAATTTATATTATTCTGGATAGGTGTTGGTTCCTTTGTCTTATAAGGGTAGAAAAAAACAGCAATAAACACGAGGAAAAATTTTTTTTCTACATTAGCTGTAGTTGGGGACGGGTATTTAGGAAACTAAGCTAGGTATCAAAAAAAGGTAGATAATCAATCATAATACAAATTCTACCAGCTTTAATTTTGTGTAGAATGTCTTTGTTGATACTATGGGTAGTTTTCCTGATATAAGTGAAAGCTCGAAAAAAAACAGCAATAAACAGGAGGAAAATTTTTTTTTCAGCATCAGCCATAGTTAGAGACGGGTATCACAGAAACTAAGCTAGATAGCGAAAAAAGGTATATAATCAATCATCTTACAGATTCTACCAGCTTTAATTTTAAAGGTCACAGGTTCGAACCCCGGCTAATGGCAGAAACATTATTTATTCTGGTTCATTGGCCGTGGGGCGACCCTGGGTAGGTAGACTCTCCTAGGGCACACCCAGCCTCTATAAAGTAGGTACCCTTAATTAAAATAATTAATTAAGAGGAAAAACCTGGCAGTTGAGCATGATCCTGGTCAAATCACCTCCTTGCACAACTGTTGACCAAGAAACAGTGCTTTCCCCAAATAGTACTGAACCCAAGACCCTTCATGGTGGTACAGGTTTTTTTTTTTTTAATTTCAGAATTACACTCTTATTAATGTTGTGGAATACTGGTGAGGTATTCAGTACAGACAAATTGAAGCATATTTTATCATACATCTGCTCATTCTGTAAAAAATATTCGTTTTTATACCTATCCTGTAGCACAACATGCACCCACGCCCTTAATAACATGAGTGGTATATCAAGCCCAGAATCTACAGAAACCTTATAAAATGAAACAAGGAGCTAAGATAATAGTAAGTAGTAGGCTACCATGAGGTCTATTTTCGCCAAATTTGGTCCTCTTTGCATGGCCGCCATTTTTGTAAGCAGTGGCTTTGGAAGGCAGACAAAGCTCATTTTAATTAAAATGTTATACGTTTTCATAATTTACATTCAAACCTTCGCCTGCGATGAGGTCCATTTTTTGGCCCTGGCTCCAGGGCTAGATGAAATTTACAGGTGGGCCAGACCTCCTTACCGTGCACCCCCCCCCCACATCCCTATAAATTGCATATCGTTGTGTTCCTTGTGCCAATTTATTAAAAAAAAAGCCAATGTTCCCACAAAACAAAGTGAACAAACTGCCCCAAAATGGCGTCCAAACATGGCGGATTGACGACTTTGACTTTAGTTAGTTTTTTTCTTACTGAGAATCAGCATTTGGCTTAATTTCATTATAGTTGGTCTTTTATTAAAGCTGGATAATCAGAGAATAATAAAACATGAAAAAATATTATTATTATTATTAAAAATATTAGGAAAAGAAAACAAGGATCAGTATCCATTATATGGCTAAACTAATATATAGTAGACAGATGAACAGAATATTTCAAGTTGCTGCTAAAAGAGGGTAAAAATGCTTGATGGGTTTGGATGATGTTAAGCAGGTTTATTATGGTGAAGAACACTTTATCAGCAAGAAAGATTTGCTCTACGCAATTGGCAAGCAGATCTGGAGGAAGTAAACGAGGTTGATAATGGTGTAAACCACTTTATTTTAGATTGCTATTGAAGTTGTACATTGGGACTATCTTCACTTTGAAGCAGGTTATACAGAGGTCTATTGATAAAAGGAAATAGCTCTGCTCCTCTTTAGTGCAATTGCAAAAGATTTGTGAATGAATCTGAAAGGAAAACGAGCTTTTGTGAAAGACCAGTAGATATTCTATCAATCCAAAGTGTGAGGCACTAAGCAGATAGAGAACCATTTTTCTTTCTCTGTGGACTTCTCTATAACCTACCTTAAAGTGAAGACAGTCACAATTTGCAACTTATGCTCCAATGTGCAACTTGAGTTTCTCAATCCATATCACTCAGGCAACCGACACTATTTCTAATTTTAGCTTATACGATTCTTGAGTAGACTTTCTTTGGTACTATAAACAGTAAGGAATCTCGAATAACATTTCCTAGTATCTCATTTCCTGTAAAGGGACAAAACTACAGTCCTTTCATATCATTCTCTAATACATTTGTAGCCTTTGTACGCACAGCATTTCGGGTTACTTCCTCCAGACCTGCTTGCCAATTGCGTAGAGCAAATCTTTCTTGCTGATAAAGTGTTCTTCATCATAATAAACCTGCTTAACATCATCCAAACCCATCAAGCATTTTTACCCTCTTTTAGCAGCAACTTGAAATATTCTGTTCATCTGTCTACTATATATTAGTTTAGCCATATAATGGATACTGATCCTTGTTTTCTTTTCCGAAATTTTTGCACTTCCTTTGTCGTTCGCTTAATTTATTTTTTCCAATTTTTGCGTTCAATTTCGCGTTTTCCCTCTTTTTGAGACCAAATACTAACAATCAGTTCCAGTTACCTAGAAGAACTTATAGCTTCGCTCTTTCCATATTTCTTTTGTGCAGAGGGAATAATGCACTTTAATATTAAAAGTTCCTATTTTTTATGATATGGTCCAACTTTCGAATAAAATAAAGGAAATACAAATGTTTTTTTAATAGCGATATAACAATTTTACTAAACAATCCATCACCTATTCATTAAAAGCAGTTCAGATTAGGTATATATTATTTTAGTTTATAAAACAGATATTAATATGACTCATTTCCGGGGAAGGATATACAATTTAAATTACCTCTAAGAATCAGTAAATATATAAAACAAAATGTTAAATTGCAAATATTAAATAAAAAAATCAAGATATTCTGCAAAGTATTTTTGAATTAAGTTTTATTATTATAATTTTATAATTTTTATAATAGAGGCCTTCTTAAGCGATCTCCGTATATAATAAATGAAGTTAAATTAAAAAAAAATAATAATGAAAAATAAAAACAAAAATAATAAATTTAAAAAAAAATAATTTTTTACAATTAAATTATTGTATTAATATTTGTTCGTTAATATAATCAATAAAATATAACAAAAACGTTATTATAGCACTATAACTAAGCCATTTATGAGTACTGAGTGGTGTGGTAGAGGCCTGTAGGCACCCACGCCAGTAGCGCTTTTCTGCCGCTTAAGTACATTTTATACGGAACTACTTCAAATATTTTAAAAAGTAATCAGTGTTTTAGAAAGAGAAATGTATTCTCCAGATGTTTTATTTCAGCACGTTTTGCATTATTGTTGACCGTTTAACTACAAACGACGCTTGATTTTCAACTTGAAAATTTGTTTGTAAAAAAAATTGACTTTACCGATTTTTTTTAATGCCTAAGCCAATTAGTTTTTAATATTTTTTCATGTTTTATTATTCTCTGACTATCCAGCTTTAATAAAAGACCAACTATAATGAAATTAAGCCAAATGCTGATTCTCAGTAACAAACAAACTAACTAAAGTCAAAGTCGTCAATCCGCCATGTTTGGACGCCATTTTGGGGCAGTTCGTTCACTTTGTTTTGTGGGAACATTGGCTTTTTTTTAATAAATTGTCACAAGGAACACAACGATATGCAATTTATAGGGATGTGGGGGGGGGGGGGTGCACGGTAAGGGGGTCTGGCCCACAGACTAATTAGCTTTAAAAGATTAATATGGTGCAAAAGAGCACTGAAAGCTGCAAGAACCAATTTAAATAAATTAAACTGTTTAAACTGATTAAAAAATAATGTTGTTTCTAATTTTATATTATATAAATCCTAGATAACTAATATAATATTGTAAATAAACAAGAATAATTTGAAATTTATTTTGAAAATTTTATTTCAGCTTGCAGCTGGACCTGGATGTGAAGAACTAATATTAAAATTACTTAATGAAGCATCTAGGAATGGTGAATGGCTAATGTTAAAAAATCTTCATTTACTAATATACTGGCTGCCAGTTTTTGAGAGAGAGTTTCATGGAATTGAGCCACACAAAAATTTTCGAATTTGGCTCACAACAGAACCAAATGAAAAGTTTCCTCCAGGATTTTTGAACCATTGTTTTAAAATTACTTATGAGGTTAGTAAACTGATCCACACCCACACAAAGATGATATATTTTCATTAAATGTTTTGTGATACAAATTTAGATAAAAAACTAATTTAAATACATCCAGACATGGTATTGGTAATCTGCTCATCAAACAAAATTCTCCCAATATTGTCTAGTGATATTAATTTATCCATGAAATGTACCAACCAGTGTTGATTTTTTACTCAAAGCATTATTGTTCTAAATTTATTTTGCATGATATTAACTTACATGAGTAAATTAATAAATAATTATTAATATTTTCTAAAACTATTTACAATTTATTATAAAATAATCTGAAGGATTTTTGGTTATTTTATTTTTAAATATTAAATAATTAATTGCTCTTGTTTATGGTTATTATTTGGTTAATGTTGGTGTTTTTATGCACATTTCCAATATTATGTTGGATCATCAGTCTGGCCAGAGACAGCAACGTTTCAACATCTGCTTATTATTATCTCCCATAATACCATATACTTAATCGACCATGTCGCGAGATGACGCCACCTACACATCTCTTCTCTCTCCCCCTCCCTTGCAACGACTTTTATTCTCCCTGCAACACTTAAGGAGACAGGTAGTACTTCTTTTATTTCTTTCTTATTTCAGCTTTCTCAATTTCTTTCCTACTTCCTTTCATTCCTTTTCTCTGTTTTTTCTCTGTTTTATACATTGTCTGTACATCTTGATAGACTTTACAATATCTCAATTTTCTATCTAACTTCTCCATTCTCAATGTTTTAATTTTACTATTTATTTTCATTTCTTATATAACTTCATATTTCTTTTTTATGTTTTACATTTTATTCTAAGATTCCCATTGTAACACTTATGTCACCTTTTTGATTATGGCTACTTCATCATTCCACACTTTGTAACGGTTATTATTATTTATCTCTTAGTTCTTAGTCATTATTCTAACAATTTCATTTTACTTTATATTTATCTATTTTATTTTTCTAATTTTTTTATTTTATTTTTTATTATCTTTTTTACCATCATTACTTATGTTTCTCATACCTTGTTATCTGGTTATTTTCTTAGCCCTGATGAAGGCCTGAACTTCAGGTCGAAACGTCGGCATATGTAAAAAATAAATATTATCATTTATTTTTGCCTTCCTTTTTGACTGACCACCCCAACTATTCTTCTCTTCATTATTCACGACAGTCAACCAATTACCAATTATGAATACATATACTTAGTCATTTTTTTTTCCAATATTAAAGCTTTAGTTGCATTTTCGATATTTTCACATTTTTCAAACAAGGAAAATACTGTGAATTTATTGAATTTCTCGGGGACTGTTGTTGAAAATAATTCTAACAGCATTAGACTGTGCACAGTGGACAAAATGACTGATTTAGGTGGACAAAAGTCAATCTCATAATTGTGATCCATTCAATGCTCGTTGTCTACCATGATAGTTGAATAGTCAAGGTGAGGATATACCTTCTTCCAATAATTATTTCATAACTATTTATGAAAAGTCCATTCCACAATTTAAAAATACTGCAAATTTAACAGTACATCTTAAATAAGAAAAGGCCCAACCATTAATATTTCCACATTTTACATTACTATTTTATAAATTACCTTTTGGACAAGTCTCACTAGTTAAAAATTATTTTTATTAAAAAATTTTCATTCCAATGCTATACAATTTCGTCCTATCTTTTTTATATCCTAATGTCCAGTATGAGCTGTGGGCTTATATATTATTATGCTCTTTGGGATTAAGATTACTGCATTATTTTAATGCTTTAAGTTTCATATTTTTATTATTATTGCTAATAATTTTAATGAATGAATATTTAAAATACTTTAATTTAATTAAAATTCTAATTTATTAATTATGTCAACATAGCTCTGCCAAATCCCCTTAATATCCATTTTGAAATTAACCACATTTTTTAGTATGTTTTAGTTTTATATAATATTAATTGTATTTATTTTTCTTTTTTTTTTAAGTTTTATATTTTTATTTTGTATATTTGTATTTTTTATTTATTGTTTATTTTGTACATACTGTGTGAATGAATCATGTAACCTTAATATTAATACCCTTTAATGTGGCAGAATGCATTAATATTCAATAAAGAAAGTATTTCCAAAAAAAAAAAGAAAAAAAAAGTTTTATATATATATATATATATATATATATATATATATATATATATATATATATATATATTCCAGTTACTTTCTATTTCTAAAATTTCTATTTTGTCATAATCAAAAATATGATTATTCATGATACTATGCCTTGCTAGAGCTGTCGCATTGATATTTTTGGGATTTTTGTATTAATTTTATGTTGATTAATTCTATTTTGCAAATTTTGAGACATTTCCCCAATGTAAAATTTATCTAAAATTTTCTAATTCAAACTCATCAATTCCTCAGTCCTTCGAATAATAGTCGATGCTCCTTTCTATGTAATCAACAAAACCCTACTCCAGGACCTTAATATCCCATTTTTCCTAGACCTTATCCCAGCAAAATTCTCCAAATTTCACCAGAATCTTACCTATCATCCGAATCCCTTTGAACAATCCCTATCCAGCACCACCCATCCCTATAATCCTCCAAGAAGGTTAAAACCTTTTAAAAGACCTTTTTACCTTTTATAGTTTGTAAATATTGGAGTTCTGGCAATGGCCAGATTCTCCACTCACGACATGAGCGTATGTGGCTAAAGCACTCTCGCTCAATCTCCACTGGGTTTAGCCCCAGTAAAGCGGTTGAGAGAGAAGTGCAGGTATCTCCTGGAGTCATGCTTTTCCCTCCACAGTTGGAGGGACAAGTCTGGCTCGGAGTTCTCTCACCTGATTGTAAATATTGTATATAGGTATGTATATGTTCTCTTTATTTATTTATTTTTTGGTTATTTTACACTTATTTATTGTATATATATTATTTTTTGTTTAATTTATTTCTGATTGTACATAGTGTGAATGTGATTCCTGAACACTATTATAAATGTCCTTTGAGACAGATTTTATTATTTTCAATTTAAAAAAAAAAAATGAATCTGAGTTTTCAACGGAAATACACGTTATAAGGTACAGTAAGTCCAAATAACAAAGTCCCGAAAAATGGTCTGTGTGTTTGTATGTTAGCAGTCTTGATCAAAAACGAAAAGTCGTACGAAACTGATATTACGTTTTCAGGATAGATATATGCCTTAGATGTGACAGCAACTTTTTCTTTAAAATCGGCTAACTGGAAATGCCACTTTATATCAACGGTGAAACACAATTTTACAATTTTCTCAAAAATGGCTCTAACGATTTTGATTAAACTCGGTGTATCATTGTATAATTAAGTGGTCTTTAATGTCATTTAGGTCTTATCCCCGTTGATGTCACTTTAAATGCCCAATGTTTCATATGTGTCTTCCTCTAAAGTACCTTTAATATGGTTTATTTTAAATAATTAACTATCTTTCAGTATTAAGAGTTACAAAAAAAATGGTAAATATAACTTTTGAAAGAATTTGGTAATTGAATAAAGGAGAAAAAAATAAAAATGTTTATCCAGGTCGAAAATGAATCTCCGGAAATACTAGTCAGAAGGTATACGTATAATATATCGTTGAAAAGCGGATAATTTAAAAAAACAAAACAATATCTAATATAGCAACTTGTAGAAGGTAACGGAGAGTGGTAAAAAAATTATAAATAATAATTTTTGAAAACTAATAATATTTAACATAAATCACATGTTTTAAAGAAAATTAAATGAAATTACTAACTAAATGTAACTTTTTTAAAAATTCTAAGTTTGGAAAAATATTTAAAATCCTCCTAATCAAGGCAATGGCATTGTTTAAAAAACTATTTCATTGTACTTGTGTGAAAGAAAAAGTAAAATATAAAATCATTTCATGGATGTATAAAGCATATGTTTATAACCTTAAATACATTTACTGTAGTTTAATAATTCTAGATCTGATATTATATTTAAATAATTAACGATCTCTCATTATTAAGAGTTACGAAAAAAATGCGAAATATAACTTTTGAAAGAATTTCATAATTGAATAAAGGAGAAAAAATAAAAATGCTTATCCAGGTCGAAAATGAATCTCCTTAAAAAATGAATCATGAAAATGAAGTTTATAACCTTAAATACATTTCCTATAGTTTAATAATTCTAGATCTGATATTATATTAAAATAATTAGGTATCAACGTCTGTTTATTCCGAAATATTGTCATGTAACTTTTTAGAAAATTAAATTAGTGAATAGTTTGATGAAATTTCCTTTTGTGATATTCCAACAATATCCACTTACAATTAGTGTGACAACTTTTGACCTGTCTATGACAGACAATGCAAATCTCTAAATTCTGTTTTAGTAAACTTTGCAATGGAAAACAACAGTTTAATAACTGATAGTCGTACAATCCATAATCAACAGATCGTGCAATCCATAATCAACCGATGACACAATAAATAAAACTTTTGTTATTTTAATGATGTTTATAATTTGTTAGCTGTAATTTTTTAGCTTTAACTCAATTAAAAATGCAATTCAAAAATTTTATAATAGCCCAACATGGCCAGAAAATAATTTCTATTCAAAGTTGAGCGGTTAGTGAAAGTTGTGTGTTGCGCGCATCAGATTTTTTAAAATATTTTTTCATTAAGCCACTTATTACTTTTATTAGCATTATTCATTTCCTGATAACTTTCATACCAAAGCCTTTTAATATGTATGTATAGGGGTAAACATTTTTAGAATTCCATTTTTAATTTCTTTTGAATATTTTTCATCAGTTAACATTACAGATTTTTTTATTAGCTTTTTTGCTGTATTTTTAATTTGATGCTTTGGATGATTTGAATGATAATTCAGGATTCTATCACTGCTATTTTCTTTTTTTGTCCAAAAAGTTTATTGTTGATAGGTTTTTCAACCGTAAATATTATTTTTTTATTCACATTATTCAATAAATTTAATAATTCTTAATCTTGTTT